TATATCCACAAGAGGTTTATTGTTGTTTTTGGGAAGTTCAAATCCAACCATTTTAGGTGTGGCTTAATAAACGTTTATGGTCCGTCTGTGGAAGAAGAAAAGGTTGGTTTCTTTGAAGAACTGTGACTGTTTTTAAATGGGTACAGTATGCCTTTTTGTGTGGGAGGGGACTTCAATGCCTACTTAACAGAAGATGAGAAGGAAGGTAGAACTCAAAACAGAAATTCTATGGAAATTTTTAGTCTCTTTATTCAGCAAACGGAGCTAATTGATTTGCCTTTAATTGGGGGGAATTTTACATGGAGCAGCAATCGGGATTTTCCTACTGTTGTTAGGTTGGACAGGTTTATGGTGAATGTTAGTTTCTCTTCAGCATTTTCTGGTATCACCCAATCGTTATTGCCTAAATCTATCTCTGATCATAATGCAATTATTCTGGAGAGTGGGGAAGATAATTGGGGCAAGAGACCTTTTAGGCTGTTTAGCTATTTAATGACTGAGGATGGCTTTGAGGAGAAGGTTGTAGAGTCTATTAAGGAGTTCAAGAAAGATAAGAAAAGAGCTGGAATTTTGAGCATACTTAGGAATACAACGGTTGCTATTAAGAGCTGGTCTGGGAATAGGAAACTGTTTCCACGTGTTGATATTTCTGTTCTAGAAGACAAGATTCACCAGATGGAAAACAAGATTCAGCATAACCAAATTTCCAATGCCTATGACAGTCTAGCAGAGTTGAGGTTTTTGAGAAATGAGCTTTGGAGACTTTACAGAATTGAGGAGCAAATCTGGTTCCAAAATTCTAGAGAGAAGTGGGTTAAAGATGGGGACCGGAATTCTAAATTTTTTCACACATGCTACCATTAGGAGGAGGATAAATTCTCTAAATGTTATTAATGTTGAAGGTGAAATTATCAAGGATCCTATTCTTATCAAGTCTACTGTCAGAGAGCATTATTTCAAAGCTTTTAACTGCTGTTCAACTTTGGAAGTGGAGGATATTAAGTTGAATTTCTCAAGAATTTCTATGGAGCAGAGTCTTATGTTAGAAAAGGAGTTTACGAAAGATGAGATTTGGGAAACCTTAAACTTGTGTGATAGTAACAAAGCTCCTGGGCCGTATGGGTTGAATATGGGATTTTTTAAAAAAAATTGGTCTTCCTTGAAAGGTGATATTCTGAATTTTTTTCACAATTTTTTCTTGGAAAAGGATTGGAAGCATGACATTAATCATTCTTTCATAACTCTCATTCCAAAGGGTTCTAATATTGGGGGTTTAGATGATTCAGACCTATTAGTCTAGTAGGTGGGATGTATAAAATCTTTCTAAGTGTCTTTCGAGAAGGCTGAGATATTGCATCGATGATATTATCAGTGATTCACAATTTGCTTTCATTCCTGGTAGACAAATTTTGGATTGTTCTTTTATTGCTAATGAAGGAATTGACTTGTGGAGGAAGAAAGGATTGAAGGATTGCGTGTTTAAGGTGGACTTCAAGAAGGCTTATGATACGGTAGATTGGGATATTCTCTTTAAAATAATGGCTAAAATGGGGTTCGGATCAAAATAGTGTTGCTGGATTCGAAAATGTGTTACAACTGCTTTAGTGTCAGTGTTAGTTAATGGTGTTCATACTGATGAATTTCCTATGGCTAGAGGTCTTAGACAGGGATGTTCCTTGTCCCCTTTGCTGTTTAATTTCGTTGGCGAGCTTCTTAATTTACTGTTACTTAAGGCAGTTACTTCGGGTCTGTTTTGTGGACTGGTTGTTGGCAAAGATGAGGCTTCTTTTAATTTATCTCATCTGCAATTCGCAGATGATCTCAGCATTTTCTGTACTGCATCGAAGACACAAATTTTTAATGTTAAGAGGGTTCTATGAGTTTTCAAAGCAATGTCAGGCCTTAAACTGAATCTCACTAAAAGTAAATTATTTGGCATTAATATTTGTGAGGAAGAGGTAATGCAGTGGGCTAATGCTATTGATTGTGCAGTAGGACATTTCCCTTCAGAATATTTGGGATTGCCGCTTGGTGCTAAGAGAAATTCCATAGTGTTGTGGGATACAGTAGTGCAGAAGTTCTATAAAAAGTTAGCCGGATGGAAGGCGAGGACACTGTCAATGGCAGGGAGATTGGTCTTATTGAAGGCTGTTTTGTGCTCATTACCCACCTATTTCATGTCCCTGTTCAAAATTCCTTCTTCCGTGATTGTTAAACTAAATTCCATCATGGCCAGATTTTTATGGGGAGGAGGGGTAGAGGTCAAAAAAATTCACTGGGTAAATTGGTCGACAATGTGCTCTACAAAAAGTGTTGGTGGTCTTGGGGTTTTGGATCTTAATTATATGAATAGAGCTCTCCTAGGAAAATGGTCTTGGAGTTTTGCTAATGATAGGGAGACAGTGTGGAAGAAGGTAATCTGTAGTAAGTATAATCTGGACCCTAGGCTGCTGATGTTCAAGAAAAAACTTCCTGCACATACTTCTTGGATTTGGAAATCGATAGTCCAAAATCATTTCAAAGAGGATCAGTTTGGAGCTAAGTTTCGAAGTTTGTTTAAAGTACGTGTGGGGAATGGAGACAACATCAGTTTTTGGTTTGATAACTGGGCGCTTGATTCCCCTCTTAAAGTGGTTTTCCTGAGATTGTTTGTTATTTCTTTAAACAAAAATGGGAAGCTCAATGAGTTTGGAGAGTTTCGGTCTTCAGTTTGGTCTTGGCATGTTCAAATGAGAAAAAATTTGAGTGACTGGGAACTGGATCAGTTTTGTAATTTAATGGCTTTAATTCACAATATCACTCTTTCCCATGAGTTGTCAGATGGGTTGGTTTGGAGAGGGAATGGGGATGGAATTTATTCTGTAAATTTGAGTGTGAAATCATGCTGTCCTGTTTCGACAGCAGACTCCTTTTGGATGAAAACCATTTGAAGGGGCTTGGTGCCTTCTAGAGTGGAGGTCTTTATGTGGCAGGTGGTGTATCAGAGATTGCCAGTAAAAACAAGAATTACAAAGGAGAGGAGTTTCAGCTATTGTAGATGTTGCATGTCCTTTATGTAAAAAGGAGGCTGAATCTTCATCACATTTATCTTTTACTTGCTTTGTGGCATGGACCCTATGGAATAAATTTTTGAAATTTTGGGGAGTTTGTTCGGTCTTGCAGGCTAATGCTCAAAGTTTTATGTTAACTTGGGAAGATATGGTGCCTAATTCTAAAATTTGGTCCTTTATTTCGAGAGTGGTTCTATGGACTATTTGGAAATTTAGGAATGACATTGTGTTTGATGGGGGAAGGTTAGATCAGATTGATCTATTTTTTATGGCAAGATGTAGGCTGGCTACTTGGTTCTTAGCTAACTCCATGGATGTGTCTATTCTAAAGGACTCTCTCATTAGTGATCCATCTCTTGGGGATTATTGCTCTAATTCAAGGTTTTCTATCATCGAAATTGTGTCTTGGTCTCCTCCTCCAAAGGGCTTTAAAAAACTGAACGTGGATGCAGCAGTGAATGGAGATTGGAGGAAGAGTGGTGTCGGGGGCATTCTAAGAGTTGAGGATGGCTCGGTGATGGGTTCTTTCCAAGAGGCTGCTGGTCCAAGTCCTCCTTTGTTGATAGAGCTTATGGCAATTAAGAAGGGCTTAACTTTCTTTGATTCGATTCATCAGCTGTTTAAGGAACGTTTAATTGTTGAATCAGAGAGTAAACTAGCAGTGGAGTGGGTCAAGAATTATGATCGTTGTCCCTATGTCTACATAGACTTAGTGAAAGACATTATTACAATGTTAAGAGATTTGAATGGTATTATTAGATGGGTTGCTAGGTCAGCCAATGTTGAGGCTGATAGCTTAGCTAAGGCTGGTATTGGCTAGTTTCACTGTTTTGATTAGGTTATTTTTAGTCTTTGGGTTGGTAATTGTAAAGGGAGTGTTTATGTTTGTTTTTAAACATTATGTATCTTTCGGTTATTAATGAATCCTAAGGCACTCTTTTCCTCCTTCCGCTGATTAAGGAGCACTTTGTGCTCCATTAATCATGAAGGGGGTTTTAACGAGGCCTACTTTCTTATCAAAAAAAAAAGTTGTCCAACAACTTGTCTTTAGTTTATGTCATCATGGAAATCAATTAAATCTGCAAATTTTAAGAAAATTGTTAAATCGTAATACTGACTTTCCATGATCAGGCCTGTTTAGAAAAAGAAAAAAAAAGAAAAACTCAAAAACTTGGGGCTACTATTAGGGTAACTATCAATAAGAACTTTTTCCTTGGGCCGTAGCTTCTTTATGTATGTAGAATCCATAAAATTTTGTCCCTTGCCCTTTAAGTCAAAAGGTGAAGGAAAAGCCAATTATCTCCTTTGCTTAAAAAGAGGAAACTTTTATTTAACAAGTTACTGGCTTAGTGCCACAATATTTTTTTTGAAGGTAAAGTTTTGTATGCTTTTATTAGCAAATGCACATACAAAACTACAACATAGCCATGGGCCTCGTTAAAAAACCTCCCTACACCTAGTTGGGTTATCTTTTATTTTTTTATAAGTTTTTGGGTTATGTTGAATGACACTATCAAGGGTTTAAAGGAAATAGCGACCTGAAATGATTGATGTGGAATACTTTTGAATCCTTAGGGCTTTGAGGAATTTAAATGAATTTTTCAAGGGTTAGATTCACTATAAACAATATCCTCTCCCTTTTAAGAAAAAGTTCCTAAATAGGGTAATGGTAAAAATTGTTCTTATTTTCACTATGCCTGCTCCACTGCCCCTCTACATGAACAATTTACAATCACCTGGAGGTATTGCTAGTTTTCGAAAGGTGGTCCATTTGTTTCTTTTAAAAATCGGATATGCATGCTTCTTTTATTCAACTTGTCTTTTTTATATAAGATTAAAAAGTTGTTTTCAAATATTTCAGTGGGAAGGCTGAATGTTTGAATATCACTTTGTCATGTATTGGCATCTCTTTATGATTACAGCAAACTTATAAGTGTTTTTGCTTCACAGGAAATGAGTTTGTTGGAGGTGAAGCATGGTTTGCTTCAGATCACGGAATCCTTGGACTTTCTCCATAATAATGCACATCTTATTCATCAAGCTATAGCACCTGAGGTTGCTTCTTAATCTTTTTTATTTTTCCCAATTTATACTAAATATAATCCTCATAATGCTTTGAAATCTCCCTTTTCTGCATTAGTTTATTCCACATGTGAGAAAGAACCAGCGACAAGTTATGGGCTGTCTTCTCTATACTCTAGTGTTTTATCATTTTAATTTTTCAAAATTTTTTGTTTCATTTTTCAGTTTTATAAGGTTTGGACCTACAATTTGTTGTTAAGTTTTCCCCTTCTTTCGTGATTGCTCGATTATTGAAAACAAAATACTATGTTGCCTTTTGAGATTACATGTTAGATAATAGTGGGTGTTACAGGTATGTCTGATGAATGAGTTTTTACTTCGCAGAATGTCTTAATTACTTCAAGTGGAGCTTGGAAGCTTGGTGGGTTTGGTTTTGCTATCTCAACAGACCAGGCCTCTAGTGATTTGGCTATTGTGAAGGCCTTCCATTATTCTGTAAGTTGGACTTTTGATGTCTTAACAATTTAGCTCAAAATCGTAAGGGTGGGTGGAGTTCAAGACGAAATGCTAGGCTTGAGCCATTCTTTTTATTTTACTCGAAGGAAAAATTATTCAATTCATTGACCAACCAAAATCAACATTTTTGCTCTAGCTATGTTGCTGTGGCTTTATTTTCTGTGAAGTTACTATGTTCAACACATTTTCAACGGATGTGGGCATGGTGGTCCAACTGTTCACCTATAGGGAAAAGCATGAAAAATTTGAATGTCAGTCAAATATGCATGTATGATACAGCGACTATAATTAACATGTTAGTTCACTATTGGTAATGTACTTATTGCCATGCCATCTTTCATTAGGTTGGCCTCTTAGAAACGTTGATATGTATGCCGTGTATATTTTTATGTTATAATATGATGCATGATAGCTGCAGTACACTGTCGAACATGATAATCTTATTTATTATTGTTGTGCATTTTGGGATTTCATTTTAACTCCCATTTGTAATGCTCATTGGCTTTGCTTTCTTTTGACTTGTTGTTTATGCGGTGTTTGGTCTTTGCAAATACGAGTGTTCTCTTATGATATTTTGTCACTTCATTCATCATGATGGATGGATTTACATATGCAATTATGTCTAAATTTATATTCTAATTTGATATGGTTCGTGCAGGAATATGATACTGAAGATTCTGTCTTGCCTCTTCAGCCATCATTGAATTATACTGCACCTGAATTGGTTCGAAGTAAATCATCTTCAGTTGGATGGTCTTCTGACATTTTCAGTTTTGGATGCCTGACCTACCATTTAGTTGCTCGAAAGCCTTTGTTTGACTGCAACAACAACGTCAAGATGGTACTTGTTAAAATTTTATCCTTTTTTGATTGCCTATTTTGTTTTACGAACAAGAAAAACTACTTTCAGATCATGTTTATATCATGACTGGGGGGTTTGCTCTCATTTATATCAACTTAAGTCTGGATTACAATCCACAAAAGGAAGTAGGGAAAGATCTATACTAGAACCTCTATTCCTCTTTATCTCACTTAACTTTAGTCCAAATATAAGCAAAAAGATTAGCACTTCTCCTAACATGACATAGAGAACTCATAACTAATAAATTCCTAAGATAAAACCTAAAATGTCTAAAATTACATCACCCCGTTTCCAAAAGTTGATCTCTGTCTGGAAATTTCCTTTGCAGACGGCAGTGGATCATTTTCAAAACATAAATATATAAATCCATGTTTTCTTGCAATATGTTTTAGTAAACGACACAAAATAACAGGAAACCCTCTGGATCTCATGTGACAGTTACCACTTTGCATTTCAGTCTTTGACTTTGATTGAACCTAATTGAGGAGGACCATTGATGCTTTTTTGTACCATTCCCTTTGTTTCTTGCACTCCCTGCATTGCTTGGAACTCTTCCAATCTGTCGGTGGTAATCCAACAATCGTTGGTAACTTGCATCATGAAAGCTACCGTCTCAATTTAGCCACATTTGCCACCATATATTCATAGACAGCTCTAGCTCAACTAAGCTGCTTCCATGAGACAAGAAAAGTTCCCAAAATCAGTAAATGGTAGCAGTGAATCATCAAATGATTCTGCCTGCTAACACTCCCCTCTCTATACTTTCTAAATACATATTTAAAAAAAAATGTTGGAGAAGTTCACATGGATTGCCACCAAAACTTCAACATAATCTAAGTAACATACAATGGAGAGCCTTAGCTGTAGGTAAAATTCTTTGGAGCAAGTGCATTGTAATTTTTATTTAACTTTAGGCGTTACGTGTGCTAGCTAAACCACTCTCATTTAGGCATCACATGTGCTACTTGTTACATTTTAATGTTGAGTAAGATAGTTCGAGTATCAGGTTATCTTCTCCTCTATCTTCTATAATCTTTCATCTGGAAATAGGAACCAATATGATATGTAAGCTGCACTATGAGATAATCTGAGGTTGTGTTTGGGAACTTAAATTTCAAAAGCAGTATGCATTAGGTAATGAAACACGTCTAATTGCAATATTCATTATTATTTTTCAAAATCACGGATTTGTTATGTGTCTGTTTAGTCGGAGGTGAACTTATAATACCTCTAGATATTGTGAGTATGAAGAACAAGTTTTTATACCTTTCAAATCTATAGTTATTTATTTTATTTTTTTGATAGAAGATTAGGCCTCATTAAAAACCCCCTTTTTCAACCTTCATGTTATAAAAGTAACATGAAGGACAAGGAAAGGAGGAAAAGAGTGCCTAGAATTTATTAGATGAAACAAAGTACAACAAAGGCAGACCCTAAACATCTGCAAACACCACCAGAAATTACATAAAACTTAAACACAACAGCTAAACTAGGAAATAAAATTATCTACTCCTCAATACAAGCAGACAGAAACCATTACATCACCCTATCCCATCCTTAGCTAATTTGTCAGCTTCCCAATTTGCAGCCCTCAAAATATGCTTCATAATGATATCCTTCCCTGCCATAAGAGAGACTATCTCCTTCACCAATACTTGAAACATAGGAGTGCATAAACCCGGATTCTTGATCCACTTTAGGGCATTGCTTGAATCAGATTCAAGAATAAACCTCCGATTAGGGACAAAACTTAAATCTTCCAGAAGACATAATCCCCTCTTAATCGCCAATAATTCTGCCAAGATAGAGGACCACCCCCAACTCTTTCTGAAAACCATTGAAGCAACACACCTTTACTGTCCCGAATCAAACCACCAATACCTCCCTTATCCCAACCCTTTACCATTGCTCCATCAACATTGAGCTTTAAGAACCCATCCGGAGGAGGAACCCAGCAAATTGGTTTAGAGTTGCCATTTCCTTGTCTTCCCACCAAATCCGCAAGTTTTAAATCTCCCACAAGAGAGTCTAAAGGAATATTCACATCCTTGAACTTTGCAACAAACCAGGAAGCTATTCTAAAACGGACAATAAAGAACAGTCTCACCACATCCAGCTTAACTTTCTGAAAAATAACCTCGTTTCTGCATTTTCACACTGACCACATCAACGCCCTTGGAATAAATTTCCATATCAAAGAATTCGAAAGTAAATCATCCCACAAATTTAAAAAGTCCATGATATTCTTTGGAATCACAAAGGACAAATTCCAAAAATTCAATAATCTGGCCCACAGACCCATACTACCTCGCAATGCAAAAATAGATGCATTTTGTTCTTACAATTTATAAAAACAATGAAATCAAATCCGAAATTTCAAACTCATGTTACCAAACATACAGTCAACGTTCTATTATTTTAGTGGACATCTATATTTACATTTCAGTATTGAGTTATTAGTCTGGACTGACTGGTTAAGAAGTTATGCTTTTCTACCTTTCCTTTGGATCCTTTGATTTTTGAAATTGGCTGGACTGAGAAACTTAGCAGAAACCTGTTCAAACTGGCTTAATGTTTCATTTACATGAAATCTCTTTAATTTAGAAGGGATGCATTGAGAATCCAGTGCATTATAAATTAGCCGTGTAGGGATGCTAATCACATGGCTATTGATTAGATGACATTAATTCTTTGAAATGGTACCTTTCGTCTTTTTTGTGCTAAGTCTTTTGAAGTCCTCCTCTTATCGGGCCTATGGACTTAATCAAGGTTTTTCCTCTATTCTTGCGTTTATATGTTTTATTTAGCAACCTTCAGATTTATAGCTATATGAATCCAGAAGACGAGAGATTGTTCTTTGACACTTGGCCAAGTCAATGTTTTACACTTGACATTCTCTCTCTCCATCTTCTACACTAATTGTGTGTATTTATGATACTTTCTCCTATATTATCTCAATTTTGTTGGCAACTAGCAAGGCACATGTATGGCTTTGTGGTGATGTTGGCAATTTTTCATATATGCATTGTGAGGTGGATTCCGAGAAGCTGTAATTGCGAGGCAGATTTGCTTGCAAAGGAGGGGATTGGGTAGTGGGTCACTTTTTTAGTACTGGGTTCGGAGGTTTTTCATCAAGGCGTTATAAGAGTGTGCTTAAGTTTTATGTATCTTAAAGGAGTGGTTTTAGTTTTATGTAATTTTTACATTATCAATATATTAAGGTTCTCTATTCCTCCTTCCCCTAGTAGGTTCTGACCTCATGGTAAGGACTACTAAGAAGGAGGTTTTTATGAGACCTACTTTTCCTATAAAAAAAAAGGCCTTTTCTGAAAGTTTCCTATTGGTATCTGTTTGTTGTTCCCTCGTGCAAATTAGAGAATTATGTTTCAAAGACTATTTTAGTGAGACTTAGGAAGTCAGCAAGTTCAAATAGACACGTTGAAGGTATAACCTATTTTGTAGTATATTTGCGTTATGCTTTTTTTGCTCTCATTTCTCTTTCTAATGGTTGATTGTGGTGTTTCTTTTTTGCAGTATATGAATACTTTGACATACTTATCCAGTGAAGCCTTCTCTTCTATACCACCCGAACTAATCCATGATTTACAAAGGATGCTCTCTTCAAATGAGTCTACCAGGCCATCAGCAGTGGATTTTACTCGTAATAGATCTTTTCATTTTTCTTTTGTCTTCAAAACCAGAAAGAAGGAAAATATTTTAGAATAGTAGAGTCTGTTTCCCATATGCAATTTTATTTAGAAATAAACAGTATTAAGAGAATGTTCGGGTTGCAATCATATCTCTACCATTTTTTTTATAGGAATTGGAGACCTCATTAAAAACCTCTCTCTTAGTGGTTCTTTACCCTATGGTAAGAACCAACTAGCGGAAGGAGGAAAAGAGTGTCTCAATATATTGAATTCAAACGAAGTACATAAGCCTTAAAAGAACTCATGAAAGTTACAAAAAACTTAAACAAACACCATTTAAACCTTACTGCTAAACTCCCAAACCCACTGAAACACATATAACCATCAGTCAATCCCCTCTTTAGCTAATTTATCAACCTCGCAATTACAGCTTTAGGAATCCACCTCACAATAATAGCATGCCTAGAAACAATAGACACCAAGTCCTGAACAAAATTAAAAAGAAAAGTAGGAACTGTGGCTTGATCATGAATCCAATCCACTGCTTGCTTAGTGTCACTTTCCACAATGAGTCTTCCCTTCGACACCCAATCTGAGGCGACAAAGATTTCAATGCCTCTTTTGATAGCTTTCAATTCTGCTAGAATGATAGGATTATGACCAACCTTTTGTGAAAAGGAAATAAGCTCAGATCGATTCCAATCACGCAGAATACCCCCAATTCCAGCAATCATACTTTTTCTACTAACAGCTCCATCCAGATTCATCTTATAAAAATCAATAAGAGGAGTCCAACATACCTTAGGCCTATTCAAATCCATGAATGCCGAAAGATTATCTGCCAGTGAAGGATCACCAATCAAAGAATCCACCTGAGTAGAGATATTTGAATACTTTGCTAGGAACCATTTTGCTAGTCTGAACCGAACAATGAAGAACAAAATGAGTCTGTCCAGTTTTCCTTTACCAAAAATTATTTCATTTCTGATTTTCCAAATTGACCATAAGACTTCCCAGGAATAAACTTCCACATAGCTGAATATGGCTTTAAATCAGACCAAGAGCTTAGAAGGGACTGTGGATCACCAGGTATAGCTGACAGAATACCCCAAAAGCCTATTACTCTGTTCCATAAATCCCACGAAACTTGGCAAGCAATAAAAAGATGTTGAACAATTTCTTCACATCGATTACATAGAGGGAAAAGAATATCATCCCCAATAGGAACCCCCTTTTCTTCAATTCCACTCTCACGATAACTTTTTTATGGGAGACTTGCCAAAGGAATGCCTCGACCCTAGGAGGGACTAAGCCCATCCAGACACATTTATTCCACTGAAAAGAATCATCATTATAAGATGATAGAGACTTCCTGCACACCTTTACCGAGAACAACCCCTCACCTGCATCGTCCCATAGCAAACAATCCTCCACTGAATCAATCAATTTAATGTCTTTAAGTAATTCCAGTAGCTCTACCAACTGATCCACCTCCCAATCGCATAGATTCCTCCTAGTCTTAATATTCCACTCCCATCCATTCGAATCAAAACTACCAAAATCTGCAACATTTCCCATTTTGTTTGATGATAAGGCATAAATCCTAGGAAAAAGGAGTTTCAAAGGTAAATCCCCTAACCAAACATCATTCCAAAAGGAGATCGAAATACCATTTCCTACTTGTAGCTTTGCGTGTGATCTAAGGCAACCTCCAATAAAATCATCTTTGGTGTAGTTATTCACAATTCCCCTCCAAATCCAAGAGTCCTTGGGAGAAAGGACCTTGGTAATATCCATAGAGTGGCAGCTAACATTGTGTTTCCTACAAAAAAACATCTTCCACATCGAATGCTTCTCATTAGCATACTTTCAAACCCACTTTCCCAACAAAGCTCGATTAGTAAGATTCAAATCAACAACCCCCATGCCTCCACCACTAATCGGATTACAAATCTTGTTCCAACTTACCCAATGCAATTTCTTCTTCTCATTCCCTCCACCCCATAAACAACTGCCATCATAGAATTTAGCTTTTGACAAATCGAAGAAGGCATCTTGAACATAGAAAGATAGAAGAGGCTTTCCACCCTACCAATTTTTTATTAAAATTCTCGATTACAGGCTCCCACAATCTCACGCAATTCCTTGTAGCCCCCAACGGTAGGCCTAAATAGACCGACGGAAAGGAACCAGTAGAGCAACCAATAGCCGAAGCCCAATCTCCCAGAATATCATCTTCCTCATTAATACCATAAAGTTTACTTTTAGCTAAATTAAGGTGAAGTCCCGTTATTAAGCTAAAGATCCTCAAAACTCTTCTAACATTCATAATTTGGGTAATGGAAGCATGACAAAAAATAATTAAGTCATCTGCAAACTGAAGGTGAAACAGTGAAATTGTTATGATTCCTGCCAAAAGAGAACCCTTGGAATAGGCCTAAGTCCACGGCTTTCGATAACATCATATGAAGTAATTCACCAACCACATTAAAAAGAAGAGGAGAAAGACTACAACCCTGTCTCAATCCTTTAGCAATAGGAAACTCTTCTGTAGGTGACCCGTTAACTAAAACCGAAATTGAAGCGGTGGAAATACACTGTGAAATCCAAGAACACCACCTATCACCGAAGCCCATATCTTTCATAAGCCTTAAAAGAATCTACAGTCTACAGAATCGTACGCTCTACTGAAATCCACTTTAAAAACAGCCCCTTTAAGCCCTTGTTTCCTCCAAATTTCGATTCCTTCATTAGCTAAACACACACAATCCAACAATTGCCTCCCCGGAATAAAAGCAAACTGAGTGGGGCTTATAATATCATCAATACAGGAAGTAAGTCTCTTTGAAAGAACTTTCGAAAGAATTTTATACAAGCTGCCCACAAGACTGATAGGCCTATAGTCTTAAATACTCTCTGGATTACATTTCTTTGGAATCAAGGTAATAAATGCATGATTCACCCCCATGAGCCCACCTCTTCCCTTTAAAGAAATCTGTAAAAAATAGCATGATCTGCTCCTTCAAATCCTTCCAATATTTCTTATAGAAGCCCATTATAAAACCATCCAGACCGGGAGCTTTTGAATTTTCAGAGGTTGAGATAGCTTGCCAAACTTCTTGCTCAGAAAATTCTACTTCAATATACTCCCTTTGAGCATCTGACAGTTGTTTAAAATCAAAATTAAAACCATCAGTTTCCAAAGTTGATCTCTCATTATAGGCATTCTTGAAGAAATTGAGCACACATGCTTTTATCTCTTCTGGATCCTTAGTGATACCACCTTCAGATTTCAATGAATGGATAGTATTAAATCTGCTCCTCTTCACAGCAGAAAGATGAAAAAACCTTGTATTTCTATCTCCATCTTTAATCCATCTATTTCTGAACTTTTGACACCAAATACTTTCTTCGATTCTCAGCAGCCTCCATAATTCCTTCCGAGATTCTATCAGTTGGTCCCACTCACCTGAAGACAAAAAACCAGCTTGCAACTTTTTGTCCAACTCATTGATTTTGAATTTCAGCTGCGAAATTGAATCTGCCAGCCCTTTGTGACTATTTACAGACCAATTCTTTATTTTAGTTTTAGCAGCTTGCAGCATCGTAAAAATGCCCCCATTATTTCTTTTCTTCTTCCCGACTGCCAATGATTCTTTAACCAACTCATCGAAGCCTTGTTCTTCCAAAAGAAAGTTGAAGAACCTAAAAGGTTTAGGTCCCCAATTGATAGAAATATCCTCCAACAAGCTAGGATTGTGGTCTGAAATTGATTTCGGTAGTAGGCATTGTGCAACATTAGGAAAACTGTTAAGGAATTTGGCACAAATTAGGAACCGATCTAATCTAACCCAAGTTGAAAATTCTCTATTGCTACACCATGTGAAAGTTCCTCCTGACATAGGCAAATCAATAAGGTTAGCATGTTGCACAAATGATCTAAGAACATCAATGGAGTGCCAATTCTGTGATTTCCCTTGCTTTTCTTCCGGTTCAAGATACGCATTGAAATCTCCCCCAATACAAACTGGTAGATCCAGAGAAATAACAAAATCCAGCAGCTCCCCATAGAACTCCTTTTCAGCTTCTAAAGGAGGTCCGTACACATTTATAAATGCAAACTCCATTTGACCATTAATGAATTTCCCCATTAAAGCCAGAAACCTACTATGAACGTGTTGACTTGTGACTTGAAAAACACTTTCATTCCACAAACTAATCAACCCCCCGATGATCCTTGAGCTGGAGACACCAATACTCCCTTGAGCAAATTACTTCCTAACTTCCTTGTAATCGCCAAAGGGCACTGTTCTAGCTTCGACTCTTGAATGAAAAGAAAAACTGGTTTTATCTTCTTTACTTGCATTGCAACTGCTACGGACTTCTCACCTTTCCCTAGACCCCTTATGTTCCACGAAAGAATACTAATTTTATGCATATAAAAGATTCACCCCAAACACCAAAAGACCAAACATGCAAACAGCCTAAACTGACCAACAATCAACCTTCCATTTCTACATCTGAACCTTTCTCAAGACTTAAAATCTTTTCAATAAAAGCCTCTTTCCCGTCCTTAAATGAAATACCTAACAATTGACAAACTTCCCAAGTAGCCAAAGCTTCCTCCAGCACCTTCGAAAAAGGGATAGAAGAAACAGTTGTAATGTTGACCACCTCCAATGCATCAGAGATTAAAGCTCTTTTGTTAATTCTTAGATTTTAAGACTCCATGAAGTTGTAATTGAAGCTGCTGCCTCACTCTAAGTACATTTGCTGCGAATTGGTGGGACCGAAGAACTCTGAAGATTGACAGAACAAATAAGATCCTTATCCTGCTCACATCCATCAATACTTGAAGGAAGTTGCGGACTAAAACTAACTTCAGTAGTATTCTGTTTCAGCTTGAAAATACTGTCTGAACCATAATTTTCTTCTTCAATATTCGGACAAAACCAGAATCTTCTAGCTCTTGACCTTTTGTATACTCGAACAATTCCTGCTCTTCCCCTCCTTCCATTAGGAGCATTCCTTATTGACAGACTAGTAGAGACAGGGAAACCCAGATTCAATCGCTTAGACCTCTTCACAGTGAATTCACTAGTTTCATCCTGAATCAGATTCCCTCCTACTAGCTTACCGGAATCATTAACCTCAACATCCTGAACTCCTTCAATATTTTCCTCAATTAAATTGCATCTTTCATCTCCATTTAAATCCAAAAGAGTCTGAACCTTGCTTTAATTTTCTAGCCCATCCCAATTTACTTTTACAGCAGGCCCAACAGGAATAATTTTTGTAACTGGGGAATATGACTCCCAGTTAGAGTCAGAATGGGCTGAAAGACTCTGGTCCATAACCTCTCGTAGCCCAAGACCCGCATGCTCCTTGTTAGAATTAAATTCAAATTCAAAATTGCCTGACATCCCATTAAAATTGGTTTGCGAGTTTGACTTTAATTCCAGAGATTGTTCCCCACTATCTTCTTTTAGCCCACTTTCTTGACTTTTGTGTAACCACGTGACCACCTTTGACCAAACTCCCTCAGCTGATCTCCCATGAGCGTCTGATTCCTTCTCTGCACCTACTCCATCACCCTCCTTCGAAAAATCGACACTGTAGGTATCATCACAAAAATTCTGCAGCTCATCTCCATTTACATAAGAACTTGCTTTACACTTCGAGACCAAATTAATTTTAACTTTAAAGGATCTACCATAAGATCCTACAATGACAGATTCGGGAACATCAAAAGGACTTGCTACCCTTAGCAGCACTCTTGCCGAAGAAAGACTCTTAATCTTGTCTCCTCCGGGATGCTTACAACCTTACCCCACGCTCCTGCAAGTTTCTCCAAAAACGATTCATTCCAGCTTAACAGCGGTAACCCAACCAGCTCCACTAAGCATAATGCCAGAGGAACACCATCTTCATTCACCAACGGAGCTAACCAATCGAACCATAAGTCAAACTTCTCTCGATAGTTCGACCACGCCTTTAAAAAATCTTCATTTGAATTGAACACAATAATACTTGCATTCCTAACGAATCCCCACCTAACTATTTTTACCTCGAATCCCTCCTTAGCCATAGCTTTCGTCACTGCCTGGGGCTGAAGGTGATCTTTAATGACTCTTGATAAAGAATTTTTCACCCATCATGAATCTTGTGATGGGATGTACATTTCCCATACATTCCTTACTCCAATAATTTTCTTACTCTGACCACCCTTATTTCCCAGTATGTCGTGATCGTTCTTCCTTCTATTATCCGTATTCAATACCTCCATATACGTTCTCCCGTCTCTCAGACTTTGCGGTTTCTCCATTTCAAGCTGCTGCAACCCATTGTCCCCTCTACCTGGCTTAATTCCTTCCCTGAACTCTGTTTACCTCTGATACTTTTTTCCTACCCTTCTTGTACTTTGCAACCCCACGGAGACTCTCTTCCCATCGATCAATGTTCCATCAACATTCTATATTGCTCTTCTACAACCTTCTTCCATCGCATATTGCACAAAGGCAAACGTTGAAGAAGTATAATTCGGTTTAACCATAAAACTTGGAATAAAGACCCTAACCACTCTCCCATAAAGATTAAAAATCTCTCTTAACTCTGATCTGGTAACTCTCTTGCTACGATTGTCGACAAAGACAGTCCATTCCTCATTGGAGGCTGAATGACCTGTCACACTTACTCTCTTACTCTCTCTACCTTTTTCTCTCTCCATTTTGGATTCGTCTTAAACCTTGCAATCATATCTCTACCATGAGTTGTAATATTAAGTGATCACGGTGTTGCAGTGAAATGCGATTAATCATGCATTAAGTCTCTGTTTATTGTGAATTTTGAACCCCCTATCTAAAAGCAACTAATTTATTAATTTTGAATTTTGTGTTATGTTTTAGGCTCTCCTTTTTTCCGGAAAGATACTAGGTTGCGTGCTCTTCGCTTCCTCGACCACATGCTTGTATGTATTTGAACTTTGCTTGTCTATGACATACTCATTAACTACAGTTATCAAGAAGTAACTTGCTTCAAATAAATTGCTTTAAAAATGCTAAAAATTCCTGGGTGACAATTTTGTTTTGCAGGGAAGAAATAACATGCAGAAGTCTGAGTTTCTAAAAGCCTTATCTGATATGTGGAAAGATTTTGATTCCCGTGTGTTGCAATATAAGGTTCAAGATTTTATTTTGCCTCTCACAGTGCCGCTTCCCTAATTTTGCCTAGTATGTAGTATGAGTTTGAATTTTAAGTACGTCACTTTAGTTATTTAGGACACTTCTTTAAGGATATCTGGGAAAATAAATGATGATATATTGGAAAACAAACCTGTTCTGGATTTCTTAAAGTGATTATCACATGTGCATTCCTCCTCCCAGCCTCTTTCTCACAGGGTGATGCATCAAGATCTTCTAGTGTCATCTGTATCCCTTTCTTTTTCTTTTCTTTTTATAAGAATTGGAGGTCTCATTAAAATCCTCCTTCATAATTGCTAAATTCGTAAGAATTTGACAAAAAGCTGAAGGGGGAAAAGAGTACCTCATATTTTATTGATAAAGGGATAAAGTCCCGAAGTTACAAGGATTACAACAAACCCCAAATACATCCTACCCTATCAAGAAAAGACAGCTTGAGAAATCCTAGAATTACCCTATCCCTTTTTTTGCAAGTTTGTCCGCTTCCCTATTAGTGTTACTACCAATCACCCTAACAATTATATCTTCCCTACTAACCATACTAACAATCTCCTTAACTAACAACTCATAAGAACTAGGGCACCTCGAAGGATCCTTTAGCCACTACACAATATTCCTACAACCGCATTCTAAAATCAGTAATTGGGAAGCTGATGCTTTAGCTAAGGCGGGAATTGGGTAAAGATTGTTGTGGTTATATTCTGTTTTAGGAGTTTGTTTGGAGTATTAGTTTTCTTTCCTAGAGAAAGGTGTAGGTATCTAAGAAAGGTTGTAATCTATGGGGTTTTCCTAGGTTGTACTCTATGGTTCTATTAATAAAATTTTGGGCACTCTTTTCCTCATTCCAATGCCTGTTAAGATACCTTGTAGCTTAACGGTTACGAAGGGGGTTTCTAATGAGACCTCTTCTTATAAAAAAAATCAGTAGTCCCTTCGCACCCCAATTGGCCCCAATACAGAGAAGGATACCAGCTTTGACAGCCTCTAATTCAGCTAGTGTTGGTGGATCAACACCAACAGGTTCCGAAAATGATCCAAGAGTATGACCATTGGCATCTCTGACTAGTCCCCCAATACCACCCTTATTCCAATCCCATTTAACTGTGCCATCAACATTCACCATCAAGTAACCAGGTGGGGGTATCCAAGATACATGAGATGGCCAAGGGACTTCCTCAAAGGAGCCCAGGAATCAGCTATGGTTGGATCTCCAATCAGTGAATCAAAAGGAATCCTAGACTCGGGAAACTTTGCCAAGAACCAATTAGTCAACCGAAATCTTGCTATGAAGAGAAAGGATTGGAAATCTGCAGAGCCGTTTTCAATCACTAATAAGTTTATGAATTTCCAAGTTGAGCAGATTACCACTCCCAGAATAAACGACCAGATGTGAGAGTTGGGCACTAAAGCATCCCATGCTAAACACAAAGACTGGATTTCTAATGGAAGTGCAGAGGAGATACCCCAGAATTGAAAAAAGTGATTCCACAAACCCCAGGTTACTCTGCAGGAGATAAACAAATGAGAAACTGATTCAGGATACAAAGCACACAAAGGGCAAAACTGATTTAGGATACAAAGCGTACAAAGGGAAAAGCTGATCCCCAAGTCCAGGGACTCCTCTTTTGGATAAATTACTCTAATTGCCACCCCATGATGAAAAACACGCCACAAAAATGTTTCTACCCTAGGTGGAGCAAGTCCTCTCCAAACACATTGACTCCATCACTAATCTTCCCCATTAATACTCATGATCAGGCTCTTACAGGATTTGGCAGTTATATCCCTTCTCTGTTTCCCGTCCACACTACACTATCTTTAGCTTCCTCACGTGGATTTATTCTAGTTAATACTGACATTAAATTCACCCATTGATCCAATTCTCAGTCGCACAGGTTCCTTCTCATTTTTTTATAAGAATTTCAGGCCTCGTTAAAAACCCCTTTCTTGATTAATGGAGCTAGTAGGGTAGCTCCTTAATCAACGGAAGGAGGAAAAGAGTGCCTTTGGATTATATTGCACATAAGAAATTACATAAGATACAACCTAGTAAACACCCTTAACAGAAACAGATAAACAAGAAAAAACCCTAAACCACCCATAAACAGCAACACTAGTTCAGCCAATTCCTTCTTAAGCTAAGACATCAGCCTCTAAAATGGTTGTCCTATTAACCCATCTAACAACACCTTCTAATGCAATAAAAACCAACATTTACAACCAAAAACTAAAATAAACGCCTCTGAATATAGCTGCCGAGCAGATGTGAGAGTTGGGCACTAAAGCATCCCATGCTAAACACAAAGACTGGATTTCTAATGGAAGTGCAGAGGAGATACCCCAGAATTGAAAAAAGTGATTCCACAAACCCCAGGTTACTCTGCAGGAGATAAACAAATGAGAAACTGATTCAGGATACAAAGCACACAAAGGGCAAAACTGATTTAGGATACAAAGCGTACAAAGGGAAAAGCTGATCCCCAAGTCCAGGGACTCCTCTTTTGGATAAATTACTCTAATTGCCACCCCATGATGAAAAACACGCCACAAAAATGTTTCTACCCTAGGTGGAGCAAGTCCTCTCCAAACACATTGACTCCATCACTAATCTTCCCCATTAATACTCATGATCAGGCTCTTACAGGATTTGGCAGTTATATCCCTTCTCTGTTTCCCGTCCACACTACACTATCTTTAGCTTCCTCACGTGGATTTATTCTAGTTAATACTGACATTAAATTCACCCATTGATCCAATTCTCAGTCGCACAGGTTCCTTCTCATTTTTTTATAAGAATTTCAGGCCTCGTTAAAAACCCCTTTCTTGATTAATGGAGCTAGTAGGGTAGCTCCTTAATCAACGGAAGGAGGAAAAGAGTGCCTTTGGATTATATTGCACATAAGAAATTACATAAGATACAACCTAGTAAACACCCTTAACAGAAACAGATAAACAAGAAAAAACCCTAAACCACCCATAAACAGCAACACTAGTTCAGCCAATTCCTTCTTAAGCTAAGACATCAGCCTCTAAAATGGTTGTCCTATTAACCCATCTAACAACACCTTCTAATGCAATAAAAACCAACATTTACAACCAAAAACTAAAATAAACGCCTCTGAATATAGCTGCCGAGCAATTAAGATCCAATTGAAGGAACAAGTTCTAATGAAATATCGCAATCTTCGGGGACCCAAGAATTAGGTTTGAAGGAAGGATCAACTTCATGCACCATGATTTTGAATAAATTATCGCCGACCTTCAACTCCAATAACTCATCAATTCTCCCTTGAGCCTTTGAGTATTTGAATTTTAGCCCGATCAAAAGACGATGGAAACTCACAACTGTTATCGATTGCTAATAATTTGCCCCACTTAGTTGCAATGTTTTTGAAAGTATTTCAATTCCAAGCGTGAAAGGGAATACCTTCGCAAGCTAACTAGACGTGACGATACTCCACCACTAGGCTCTCTGACCAAGTTTCCACTCTAGAAAACCATTCTGCAAGAGTCTCTAGTTTATCATCCTTCACGATTCTCAACGAATCAAAGTTTTCAAAAACCATTAGAACCACATTTCCAGCAGCTCTCATTAGCGTGAAGCTAGCTAGTCCTTTGGCTTGAATTTGGTTAGCAAGATTACCAATTTTGATAAAATTCTTGCACCACCCCACAAGACAGTTACTCAACACGTGTAGTTTATCTCCCAATGGATCGTCTCTGGAAGGTTTTCGATAAATATCGTGTAACAACCATTTCTGAACCCATTTCCGATTCTTGGTTGAACTTCCTTCGACGAATTATGAAACCCATTTCTTCTCCTTCTCGTTACTTCGGAAAACTTCTCATTGGGGTGCCCTATCGTGGTGCTCTCATTGGTTCCATCAAGATCAATATCAGCGATAGGAAGAGCTGGTGTTGCTTGTACTACAGAAATCTTTCCGACCTTATGTTTCCCTCCTGAACTCACTGAATAAGTTCCCAAATTTTGCTGATTTTGGGGCGTAGGAGATTGTCTGTACGTAGTGCCGTTAGGCTCAACTGTCCAACCACCCTCACGGGCCAAGGCAGCCAATACATCATTCATAGCAGCATGCGGGGGAAGAGGGAAATTACTGTAATGCATAGTCACATGGATCGCGGTACGCCCCGGTACGGGAACGTGGAACGGGATCGTAATTCGCTAGGTCCCTAAAATTCGGTATGAGGGGGGTACTCATTTCGGATTGCTCTGGTACGATGTACCAGTTTCTTAGGTTGCTATTTTTCTACATCAAATTTTATAAGTAACTTCAAGAGTTCAAATATCTTAGAGTAACTTCAATACTATAGATTTCATTCAGTAACTTCAATACTTTAAAGTTGAAGGACTAAATTTATAATTAAACCAATATCTTAAACAGTAAAAAGAGTTGGTCTTTACTTGGGTTTATAAAATATTAACTTTCCTTTTTTCTTCTCACACTTCAACGCTTCCTCATCTTCCTTTCTTTTCCTTCTCTAAAATGATAGTCCATCTTCCTTTCTTTTCCTTTACCAAATTACCTATCAAAAAAATCTGTCGACTCTACCGCCGACTGGCAAGATCGGCCCTTCCACCGTCTTCGTTACCGCCCCTTCTCCTACTGAATCCTTACCCCTATATTTGTTTCTTTGTTTTTGTTGTGATGGGCTTTTGTTTCCTTTGCTTCTGCTGTGAGGGTTTTTGTTTTCTTTGGTTTGTTGTGGTGGGTTTCTTCTTTCTTTGATTTGCTTTCATGGGGTTTATGCTTCCATTATTTTCGCTATGCACTTATTTCACTATTCCGGTATGCGAACGAACCGAGAATTGGAACGGACGAACTGAAACGAGATTCGTGGGGTGGAACGCGTTCGTACCGCATTTTGGATCGCAACGTACGGTACGTAGATCGTGGGCTATTGAGCGATTTATGTAACTATGTCGTAATGCCTCAATCCGGCCAACATACGTCTAGTGAAAATTCGCCTGTGTTGTTTCCGAGTCTTTGTCCTCTCCTTTTCTTTCTCCATTGCACGTTTTTCCTTCTCGGAATAAGATGAAGTGGTTGCATCGGCGAGTCCAGAGGCCTTGAAAAACCTCCCTCGTGCTAATGCATTCTCCAACCTTTTTAGTTCCTGTTCCCGCTTCTTCAAATCAGCCACTTGTGCTTTAAGTTCCTTCATTCTCGCTTCTAAATCCTTGGCAGAATCAAGAGAAATATCAACAGAAGCACCATGGAAATATGATTCATGAGGGAGTTGAGAAAATCTTGACGTTGAAGTAGGAACAGTAGAGTGACTCGCAGAGGATGCAACCACCGCACATGTTGCAGCAAACCTTCGGGGATTCCTGGGTTGAGACGGGGGTTGGGGTTCCATGGTGAGGTCTGGAAATAAACAGAAAGTAGGAGGAAATGGTATTTTCTGCCAAACCAGTTCACTGGAAATAGATGGAGAATAGAAACGATTCTCGACACTTGGATAGGGGGTTCTGGTCGCGAGAAGACGCTGAGTCCATTGGTGAGGCGTTGATCACGGACGGCGGGAAGCGGCTAAAATCGGCAGATGACTATGTTAAGATCTACGATGATTGAATGTTTTTATCACAAATCTAAGGCCAGATTTGAAATCACCGTGGGTCGGCGATCTACCCAGGAAAAAAACGGCTTCAAAACGGTGGTCGGAGTGTGGTTGCAGACGGCGGCAGCGGGTGGCGGACGACTGCGGCGGGCAACGGGTGGATGTCGGAGGAGAGAATGATTTTCAAAAATGCATGGGCTCGTGGAAATTTGAATTTTGGTAACGTAGGGAGGACTGATTTAATGAGGATTACCAATCTACCATCCATTGACAACGCAGCTGCTGTCCATCCTGCTAATTTGTCATAGAACTTTTGTATGACAGGATCCCATAGAGCCAATGAGTTCCTGTTGGAATCGAGTGGTATACCAAGATATTCCGCGGGAAACTGCCCTACCGAGACATTTGCTGCTGCAGCCCAAGCTCTAAGGATTTCATCTTTAACATTGACCCCAAATAATCTACTCTTGGAGCAGTTCAATTATAACCCTGTCATCAACTTAAAAACTCTCAATTCCCTGATAACATTAAGAATCTCACCTCTCGAAGCCTTGCAGAAAATGATTAGATCGTCAGTGAACTGGAGATGGAAGAGAAGGAAAGAATTTCCAGGATTGCCCACTAAAAAACCATTGAAAAGCCCTACCTCATTAGCTTTAGACAACATCAAGTTCAGAAACTCTCCAACCAAATTGAATAACAACGGTGAGAGGGAACAACCTTGGCGAAGACCTCTGGCCTTAAAAAATTCCTTTGTCGGCGATCCGTTAACTATTACTGAAATGGATGCCGACGAAACACACTTCTCAATCCATGAGATCCACTTCTCCCCAAAACCCATTTCCATCATTAGTATGGAGACAATAGTATTTTTCGTATTGAAGGAACCTCCTACAAGAGGGAGATCAATTAGTATGGAGCCAATTTGTTACTATTTTTCATTCACCGAGCTCAATGAGGAGACATTAGTAGTTCATGATGTTATCCATTTCATTTGTCTGACAAAAGCAAGTCAAGTGAATAAGATTTCTAAATGCAGGTACTTCCACCTCTTTGTGCAGAACTCAGGAATCTAGTTATGCAGCCGATGATTGTGCCCATGGTTCTCAAGATTGCAGAGTCTCAGGTGATTGTTTTGCTCATAATAAGGCTTTGAAGTATAAATAGAATGCAATTTTCTTATTTGTAATTGGAATTAAAAAATGATTGGTGATTGTGTTGGCCTTTTATGTATCTCCATGCTAACCTTTTTGGATTAGTTGTTAACAAGGGATGCCTTTGGATATTTTCTCTGTTAATAGTTCTTTGATAGATTTTTACTTTCCTTATTGTTTGTGCTTCCTACTAAATACTTTCATGAGAAACAAAATACTGTTGCTAAATAAGATAAATATTTTCCGAACTGTCTAATCATTGACAATAATAATGAATTAAAATTTCAAATAATAACTATTGTATATATGCATTAATGCTTAAATATTTGTTATGAATATTTATAATGAATGTTGTAATTTATGTTCAAATAAGCATATTGAGTTTTTGGTTTATGATCTATGATGTAATAGAAAAAGCATGTTGTGCTCAATTTTGGACCATATCCCCGGTTGAGTAGAAGGAAGATCTCTAAGAATAGTTTATTACTGTGAAAATAAAATTATCAGATAGCAAAAGATTAACAAGTGCTAGCTATTTGGACACCATATCTCTCTACCAAGCAAACACAAAATTCTATATAATAATATATGGCCATGGCTTGCATAAGGCTTTAGTTGGATTCTAAATGAAATGATAAAAGGGTAATATCTTTTATTGTACCCAAAAAAAATTGAAATAGACTTCTACAGTTATTTTGGATTATACTTTGAGCTGTTTGTAATAAATTCAACACTCCATTTATTGCATACCAAATGTAATCTGACGCCAATATATAATGTAAACCATGTCTACTTTTCGCTCTGAAAGTTGTTGCATTTGTTTGGCTTGCTGTCTTGCTTTTTCCCTTAGTATATTTGAGGTCTGTTTGAGCTTTATCTTTGATAATGCCGAGGAAGTGTTTTTCCCTTAATTGATCTCTTCTTTCTGTTAACACATTGTGAAAGGTGATAAAACCACTTGTAATAATAAATCTGATATGGTTTTATCTGGTACACTGTAATCATGATTTTTAGTCTTGTTTGACCAATGAACTGATGGCTTGAATTGTATTGTAGGATAAAACTGATTTCGAGTTAGTTACATTCCCAGCTCTTGTCCCTGTCCTGAGCACTGCTGCAGGAGAGACCTTGTTGTTGCTGGTGAAGCATGCAGATCTTATTATTAACAAGGTAACTAAAGTAGTTTGCTTCTTTAAAGAATGCTCCCTCAGGAGTTCCATTTTTTCTGTATCTTTTATTATAATCAGAAAAAGAGTGGTCTAGGTTTTGTGAATATGAACAGGTTGCTATCTATAAATCTATGTAGTTTGGAGCAATATTAATGTTCTACTTTTATGATTATTTTCCGGTTGACATTTCTTTTTGAATTCATGAATGCCATTTAAATGGGTGATGTAGGCTTTTGGCTTTCATTTTGTACTATTGTTTTTCTTGAATATCTATCGCTCCCAGGCCTCAAAGTTCCATCAATATCAATGATTTATTTGAGCTGGGTGATGAGGCTTTATTTATGATATGGGATTCTTAAGAAACTAAAATAAATTGCTGAAAGGATACTTTATGAAACGGCAATGCCATGTTTCCCATTATCTTCTGAGGCTTGTTTTCATCATGGGTCATGCTCAATCATTTAATTACAGTTACTCCAATTACTGTAGACATCTCCAGAGCACCGAGTGTCCCATGTACTGCCCATGCTTGTTCGAGCTTATGATGATAGTGATCCTCGTATCCAAGAAGAAGGTTTGAGAAAATCTCTATTACTTGCCAAGCAGCTTGATATGCAGGTGATTGTGATGCCTTGTTTTTTCCTCTGATGGAGTGTTATTTTCGGAAGTTTACTTTATCATCTTTTTTTGTATGCAATAATTATTATCATAAATTGAATGCACATCTTTTAGAAGAGGGAGATATATTGCTGGGTTTCTCTTTACTCGGATCTTATTTATTCTTTTGTTATTGGATATTAGAAAAAGAAACAATAATCATGTGTACTTGTTGATTATTGGATGCTGTAAATTATCCTTAGACTATATATGCTAAGAGGAATAGTACGGGCATAACATTTAAATCTCACCTTTCCCTTAGTTTTTAAAGAAGATAAAGTAAGTATTATTGCAGAAGGATCGCACTTTTGTTTTTGATAAAAAGGAAGGCCTCATTAAAAATCCTTCATATCCGTCAAGCAGCAAAGACTTAAAGAACATTAGAAGGAGGAAAAGAGTGCCTTAGAAAATTTATTGCATAAGAATCAAATACAATAAGAACACACTATCACCAAGAACCCTAGGCAGCACTCAACACTGTGCAAAGATGCACTACAATTATGCTTATGTTATTACCCTACACAAAACTACCTCCCAAAAACTCAGCCAGGAACAAACTTATACAATGATCAAAGCTGTCAACTAATCCCAAAAAAACAAAACAGCAACATAAATAAATCCCCTCCACTTAACCAATCCCTAGTTTGGCGAATTTATCCACTTCCTAATTAGCTGCTCTCACCACATGATGTACAATAACACCTTTATCAACCACAATCTCTGCGATATCTTTGACTAAGGATAGTGGAGCTAGCTGGATTTTTTATCCAATCCACTGCCACCGCACTATCGGATTCCAAAATAAGCCTTCGGTTTGCCGACATCCCCAAATCCCAAAACAAATTCAATCCTTTCTTCACAGCCATCAATTCTACCATAATAGGAGGTCCAGATCCAATACTTTCAGAGAACGAACCCATCAACAATCCTTTCTCATCTCGAATCATCCCACCAATGCCGCCCTTCGACCACCACTTGTCCATAACACCTTCTACATTCGCTTTAACAAAACCGGAAGGAGGTGGAGACCAACTAACTACCTTTGAAGACCACTTATCAGAGCACGTCACACAATCAACTAACGCAAGATCCCCCACAAGGTTATCAAAAGAGACCACTTTTGGAAATTTCGAAGAAAACCATGCTACCACTCTGTACCTCAAGAGAAAAGATAACAGAGCAAAATCTAATTTCCCATTATTAAAAACAATATCGTTTCTCATTTTCCAAATCGACCACATAACGGCTCCTGAGATGAACCCCCAAACACTTGATTTGGGTACAAGATCAGCCCAAACTGAAAATAAAGCTACAGGGCACTCCGGAATTGCAAAGGAAACCTCCCAACAACGCAAAAAGCTAGCCCATAACCCCCAAGACACTTTGCAAAAAAAAATAGGTGGGAAACCGTTTCTTGAACCAACCCACAAAACAGACACGATGGATCTTCTATACCTTGCACCCCACGTTTTAATAACTCTGCTTTGAAAACAATCTTCTTGAGCACCACCTGCCAAACAAAAGATTCAACTCGGGGAGGAGCCACAACAGCCTACACGTTTCTTTCCCACGGAAAACTATCGACCAAGCTACCAAGAAATATTTTAAGGCAAGATTTCACTGAAAAGCACCCAGCTCCTTCTCCTGTCCATACAAGACTATCATCAATCAATGGCGTAGGATTGAAATTATACAACAAAGCGATAAGCTCATTCCATTGCAACAACTCCCAATTGGCTAAGTTTCTCCTCATGGCAATATACCAAAAACAACCTGACGAGTTAGATATCCTGAAATCGGCAATCTTCCCCTCCTTGTTATTTGATAATGTGAATAAATGAGGAAACCGAATCTTCAGTGGAACTCCGTCCAACCAAGCATCGTACCAAAACTTGATTGAATCCCCATTGCCCGCCTTCAGTTGAAAATTGCTCCACAAACATACCCCAAACTCATCCGAACAACAATTCTTCACGACCCCTTTCCAAATCCAAGAAGCTTTATAAGAGGCCGAACTCTCCACCCCCATAGACTTCGGGTCAATATTATTTTTACAACAAATTATCCTTTTCCACTAGGAGTTCTTCTCATTGGCAAACTTCCAAGTCCATTTTCCCAGTAAAGCTCTATTCATAAGATCTAGATTTGGAACCCCGAGTCCTCCCAAAGCCTTAGGATTGCAAGCAGTCTCTCAATTTACCCAATGAATTCTGTTTTTCGCGTCCGACTCCCCCCAAAGAAACCTTGCCATGATTGAATTAAGTCTCTTCAGAACACACCTCGGCAGTCTGAAAATCGACATGAAGTAGATTGGTAGGGAGCAAAGAACCGACTTTATCAACACGATTCTACCAGCGATGGATAGTGAGGCTGACTTCCAACCCGTTAATTTTTTATAGAACTTTTGAATAACCGGATCCCATAGGGAAACTGAGTTTTTCTTCGCCCCAAGAGGTAACCCCAAGTAGTCCATTGGGAACGAACCCACAGTGCACCCTATTGTTGCAGCCCACTCACAAATGGCCTCGTCATTCACGTTAATGCCAAATAATCTGCTCTTCGAAAGATTAATCTGCAATTAATATGGAGAATTGAAATGAATCATTGTGATGTTGAAACAATGGACGAAGAGAAATAAAGCTTACCACTTTTCAGCATTTTACTTGAACGATTTTTTCTTTTTCTTTTTTATTAATTGCTCGCATGCTTGACCAACTTGCTCTATCTATTCATTGTTCTCTGGTTTGTATTTTTCATTGAAACTATCTATTCTTCCAGGCTCCTCTTATCTTCTCGAGCAACAAAATTTAGAATTATTGTTGGCTTGTGTCACGAAAATAGAGGGAATTTGTTAAAAGAAACATTCTTAGTACGTTTGGCACATTTTTTGTAGGTTAACTTTTGTTGTTAGACTCTTTTAGTGCCGGATCTTTATGTTTACTTCTGATGATTCTCTTTGTTTGGAAAGCGTTGACCCTGATAAAGTTGGCAAATAATGTTATTCCTCCATAGTATTGTTCCATTCGTATTTTGTAGTAATAATGTTCTTTATGTTGTTCAGCTTGTGAAAGCTGCCATTCTGCCTCGCGTTCATGGCTTGGCTCTTAAAACAACAGTTGCTGCGGTATGTATGCATATTTTTGGTCAATATCTCAATATTAAATTGTATAGTCATAGTTTATTATATGTAATCATATTAACAAAAACTGCCATGTGATGTAGGTCAAATTCTACGGAATAATAGTATTCAATTATTTTCGTTGATCTGTTATCCAAATCCAAGTTGTATCTTCATAACCTGGTTTTAAGAGAAAATAAGGCCAAACTAATCCAAATAAAGAGAGAATAAAAATAAACCAAACAAACAAGTCCTCTGAGAAATTAAATACTATTTCCTAAATTCATGGCTAGAATAGACATTCTTCCCAAACTTGGAAGGTTGTTTATCAATTTTTCATTTTGTTATTAAAAAATATTGTTGTATGTGGTCATTTGGTCTGCTTCAAATGCCATAGTTTAAAGCTGCTTTAGGTTAACTTTATGAATTATCCCCGCTAGTTTCCTGAAAAGAGACTCGTGCCTCTTGAAGAATAAGAATTTAGGTCATCCATGAAATTTAGAATATTTGGAAAAAGAAAAGTGTGCTATAGAAGTGTGTCTTCATTGTTGCATTTAGGAAGGCATCTAAATTCTAACGTTATTCTTGTCGTTCAGTATTATTCAAAATGCTCATTGGAATTGAATGAAGCAGATACATCTGAAGGCATCTAAATTCTAACGTTATTCTTATCATTCAATATTATTCAAAATGCTCATTGGAATTGAATAAAGCAGATGCATCTGTTTCTCAAAGTGCGTGGAGTTGTTGTTATTAATTGTTTTTGTAGATTCTAAATTAGTTTTAAAGTGCCTTTTAATAGAACATAGCTGCTTCAGTTCTTTTAATTTCTTCTGAATCTCTTTCTTTGAGCAGGTCAGAGTCAATGCTTTGCTCTGCTTAGCAGATTTTGTTCACACACTTGATAAGCATGCTGTAATGGATGTATTACAAACCATTCAGCGTTGTACTGCTGTTGATCGTTCTGCTCCCACTCTAATGTGTACCCTAGCCGTTTCAAACTCAATTTTCAAGCAAGTAATGACAGACTCTATTTTTGGTTGCTTAAGTTGATTTTCATTTGCATGTTGGGAAGTTTTGGTGCCTTACAGTTCAGTATCTGTCTTTTCCATTCATCATGCGCAGTATGGAGTTGAATTCACTGCAGAGCATGTCCTCTCTTTACTCATACCTCTTCTCACCTCCCAACAGTTGAATATTCATCAGTTTTCCAAATATATGCATTTTGTTAAGGATATTCTCAGGTATCATTGTTATTTGTGATTGTTGGATTTCCCCCGGATCCTATTTCTGCACACCTGTTTGATTTCATAACGAAACATTTATTATTATCTCCCTTGCTGAGAAGTATTAGATAGTAGTACCATTATTTTTTACGACTTCGTATGAAGATGTTATAAATCTAATTTTGTTTTAACTCAGTAAGATAGAAGACAAACGGGGGGTTACTTTAAATGATTCGGGAATCCCAGAGGTAAAACATACTACTACCACCAATGGGCTTCAGCCTGAAGCCTTGAGCAAAACAAGTGGAACTGTGGCTTCAGCTAAAAGCAACCCGGCTTGGGATGAAGACTGGTGCCCTACAGCCAGAGGAGCTGCCGGTGCCGGTGTCAGTGCCACTTCTCAGCAGGCTTCAAAAAACAATTCATCCGTTGATTCCATCTTGGGTGCTAAATCAATTCAATCACCCAAACAAGCAGAACCTTCTGCGATATCTACTGTATCTAGCCAGCAAATGCCTGTTTCTTGCCCCACGGTTGACATTGAGTGGCCTCCTCGTGCAACTTCAGGTATTACTGCAGAGTCCAGCAATGGCGAGAAGCAATTAAATGCTGCAACATCATTGGCATCAAATTTTGATGATTTAGATCCTTTCGCAAACTGGCCTCCGCCGCCTAGTGCCTCAAATGATTTGGGGAGCTTCAACAATGAGACCATGGGATCAGCCAAGACCAGTTATGGATCCAGTTCCAGCGATAGTACCCTATTCAACATTAACAACCCTGAGGACAAAAGCAACAGTTGGGCCTTCAGCAACCAAAACTCTGGAGAGCTACTAAGACCTAATCTCAGAGCTTCAACTTCCGATGCAACCATCTTGATCAGTGGGGGTCTCCAGAACTCTATTGGGTTCATGAAACAGAATCAGGGGAATTCGGCTTCGATGAGCTCTTCATACAATAATCCGAAATCTTTAGATCTGGGGTCCATATTTAGTACTAGCAAAAAAGAGCAGGCTGCACCGAAACTTGTACCACCACCCTCAACTTCTGTGGGTAGAGGAAGAGGAATGGGGAGGGCAAGGGCCAAACCAAAATCTGAACAGCCTCCTCTCTTGGATTTACTTTGATAATTGGGGTTTGCTTCTACTAGAGCGAGTTCTTTTTTTTCTTTTCCTTATTTTGGTTCTTTTTTTCCCTTTCTGAAAATGTGGATTTGATTTTGATAGAGTTGTCATCCCCTCCTGTATAGAGCTTTCCCAGATCCCCGAAAGTAAATTTATATATCTATGGATGACAGTAATATGGCCATTGTGGATGATGCCATTGTTCTCCACATCATAGCACTGATATGAGATTTGCTTGTGGCTTTATTATTGTAATTGGGATTACATGTCAGAGGCCTGTTTTTGCGGCTTTCTTCTGCACTGCATTGTAATTGTTTGAGGCCTCAACTTTTGTTAGGAGAAATAAAAACAAATTGTTATTTGTTGGGACTTGAATACATACATGATTATTGTGATTATGATTCCCTTATAATTTCGACGACGTTGATAACATTAGGTTAAATTCTCGATCGGCCCTTGTATTTTATACCTTGGTTTGTCTTTTTTATCAAAGAAACTTTCATTAAACTATAAAACGTATACACGAGTAAAAAGGTTAGAGAAATCTAACAACATTTGTTCAAGGCAAGAGAGTACCAAATACGGGTCGTGGACCAAAATGAAAACCATATGGATTCCGACCGAAGTTTCGGTCGGTGGGAACTTGAAGAGAAAAGAGTCAATTTTGATTCTTCAATTTTCCTTGTCTCCTGCAAGTAGCTTGAATTTTCCTTCTGCCTAGAAAATGCATGTTTTTGGTTAATACTTTTACCTCAAATATACATTGGGGTGTTTGATAAACAACTTTTTGAAGAGCTTTTAGCTTATTTGAGTATAAATATTTGATTGATAGTCAAACCCTCCATTTGTAGTATATGGTAAACACCTTTTTGAATGAATTGATTGTGCAAAACAAGCTAAAAATGAAAACCTTGGAAAATCCAGATGTTTGGGAGAGCTGATAACATAATAAGATGTTAAATGACATATTTGACTTTATTATTTTCATAATTACATATTTGTCATAAAACCTAATCTAATGAAATAGCCTCCATCCTAATCCACTTGATTCTCTCATTAGAGTCTTCTCAATCGTCAAACTACAACATCAAACAACCAAACCATGGAGATTCTTTTGCAGGATAATTTCACCCATTAAAGTTAGTTCTTTTCTTCTATGCTTTTAATGAGTTTTACTTGTTTTTCCTTGTAGAATTTTACCCGAAAAAATCAATTTACTGAAGTGATTTACACAAAAAATTCCATTTGCTTAAAACAATTGTGAAACGTTTCTTTTTCCTTTTTTGTGTGGATATTTCATCAATTTTTCCATGTAATTTGAACTTTTGGTCTCTATAAATGTAACTTTTTTGTCTTTGTAATTTATTTTTTTCTCCAGTTAAATAATTTTCCCTCTTTAATTAATTTTTTTGTTAAATTCAACTCTTTATTATTTGCTCTGTAAATGATCTTGTTAGTTATGATTATTTGACACCCATATCTGCTGCCTCCTATCATTAATCAATTTTTTTTTATTTGGTGATGTGATTTTGTATAGGAAATATTTGCATGATAAAAGAAGAGAAGCACTCCTAGTTGAGATTACATATTAAGATTTGAAGTTAGTTTTCAATCTCTATAGTATTTGTTACCTACTTGTTCAAATGTTTGCTTTGATGCTATATGTATCACATCATTGTATTGTCACTTGTCTTTAATATGTACACCAAATTACATCTTCTTGTCTCATGTAGAACTAACCACATTATATTATGTGTTGTTTGATATGTATTATTATTATAAGTAATAATAGATTGGAGTGTTATCCGAGCACGATGATTATTGGAAATGTTAGTGTTTTTGTTTCAAAAATTTAAGAGGTATATAAGTAAAATAAGTGAATTTAATTATGTTATATACTACTTAGATGGCACCAAGGAAGAAAAATAACAATGAAGAAAGTGAAAGCGTGGGGAAAGATATAAGTAGGGTTAGTTGGTCGAAAGAAAATGCACGCATATTTTGTGATTTGTGTATTCAATATGCTGAAAGAAGTAAAGGAAAAAAGTGGTGTTACGATCTCACAAAGAGTGTAATGGAAGACGATAGAATTGTAATTTCAAAAAAAGACATGCTTAGCATATGAGAACACTAAGCTTAAGAACAAGTGGGATTGGATAAAGAATAGATGGAGTCTTTAGAAAGCCTCGAAAGGAAAGGAAACGAGATTAGGTTGGGATCATGAAAAATGAACAATAAGCGCTAGTGAGGAATGGTGGACAAAGAAAATTGAGTTTAGCATATTTATCTATACTTGTTTAATTTCTTAGAATTTATTTTATTTATTTTGCTTTATAGGAAAAACACATTATAAAACATTTCAAGATTAGGGGTTTGAACCCGAACTGGAATATAAGATGGAACAAATGTTTGGTGTTTCAGTTGCACAAGGGGTTCTTAAGTTTACTCCTGTTGAGCATGAAAAGGAAACAATATATGCTCCTCCCCCCCCCCCCCAAATTATAATATTGGTAGTGTTGTTTCTGATTATGATGATGTGTGGAGTGAGAATAATGTCGTAAATCATACTCAAGCTAATATGGAATGGCAAGAAGTTTGGAATGATTCTAGCTTAATTCCTTCCCCTTCTCCTAATTTTAATGAACGAGAAGTTGGAAGAAGATGAAGCAAACGAGCCTTTGAGAATGATGTTTTTGAAAGTAATAAGAGTTCTAAGGTTGAATCGTCTAGGATAATCGAGGACCACCACTGTTACTGGAGAAACTGAATGATGTGGTTCAAGTTGTTACTGAAAGGAGCATTAAAGATATGGAGTTAATGAATGTTGAAGCACGCTCACTCGTTGAATCTTCTCATTCAAATGTTGAATCTTCTCTTACACTTGTTGATTCTTTAGCGAAGTTAGTATCTTTGTCTAGCTTAATACCTAGTACTCCAGAATTTTTTTTTTGCTTGCACCTTGATCGAGGATCCTCAGAAAAGGACTATTCTTAGTGGTCTGCTAGATGATGATGCTAGACTTAATTGGATTAAGTACTTGTTTGAAAGGGAGAAAAAAACACCATAGCTGCGTAATACAAGTTGAAGTTAGTTTTATATCCACTTGTAAACACATTTTGAAGCAAACTTTCGGTTAGTATTTAACAAATTTTTGCTAGCTTTTGGTACTGAAACTTATTTCTAATGTGAAAGTGACTTATCATAGTAGTTTTAATGAACATCACAATAGCTTTAATGAAAAATGATGCTACATGCCTTTTGTACTGGAACATATTTGTTATGTGAAAGTAGTTTATCTAAAGTTAAATTATTACTTTTAATTTTTTTTATTTTAACTTCCAAAGCAATGTTTGATCTCTTAATTGTTTGACGTGAGTTGCAATTTGGAGCAAGTATAATTGTTTATATATACAAATATTTGTAGGCATGGATCTGCAAGTTATCCGTAATAGAATACGCAAGAGGTGCAGAAATAGTGACTTCTGGGACTTGGTAGCTTGCGCATTTAGTAGCTTGGTAGCAATGTAAAGTTCTTGACCCAGCTTTTAGAGTAATAGATTCAGATCCGAATTTTATTCCTCCAAAAGCATTTTTGAATATCGAATCCACGCAAGAAGTTGAGTGTATGAGTACTAAAGAAATGACAATGATGAAATCACTACCGGTTTAATGGCAGCTAGACGATCACACCATGTTTCTTAAATATTACTAGTTGTTTGTACTTGTTTGGATATGTATCTCTTTCTTGAATATTTATGTAATCTAAATTTATTTTCAATGAACTTGTGTAAAATAAATTTTATGCAACGTCTAATGATAAATTAATGGAATTTTATTTTATTATTCTATTTTTTAATTGTAGATTCTCAAATATATTTTAGTTAAGAAAATATAGCAAAACATAAAAGTAAAAAAATGTAGTGTTGATATTTTATACAAGGTTAATAGTATGTATCAATCTCACAAAGTTAATATTTGTAAATATCAAATTTAAAAAATATATTCAAAATTTTCAAAAATATTCACTAATTTTCTTAAGGAATTTTTAATTCCTTGTCAAAAATATTTTATCCGGATAATTTCACCCCAATAAAGACTAAAGTATTATAAAAATATATATGTACTTAATAACTAAATATATTATACCCTTATTTGTCATTTTATCCATACCATCTATCGGCTAAATTTTACCAAACACTTCTATATAAACAGTTAATCAAATTAATTTCTCAAATAAGCTAATCAAAACAGATGGTCAACCAGTTACTAGAATCAACTACCAGCTATCAGTTGTTTGCCAAACACCCCTGCCCCTTTGGAAATAAGCATTATTATCAAATAAAACATCCTTGTCGAGATAAGCATTGTTACCAAAAATAGGAGTTCAGTTCTTGTGTTATAAATGGCGATGCATTGATGATATAAATTTGTTTTCAAAATACCTAATATTATTCAACAACATGAATTTGTCATGCACCATTTCCAGCCGAAGAGCTCGTATTTTCGTACTTTTGTTGTATTTTCTTACTCTAAATGTTGAGCAACGAACGTGAAAGTTTCGGCAACTCAATGAAACGAAGGAAATTCCCAAAATGAATGAAAGAACCGTTCACAACAGAGGAAAGATACGATAAAGAAATGGAGCTTTGGTTAAAAAGAATCTCGGATAATCCTATGGCTTGTACAAGTTGGGGTCTTATTTTGGAATCCTAGTTAGCAAGATTTAACAATCATCTGTTACCTTTCCTTAACTTAAACCATGCTTGTGCTAAATTCTGATATATACAAGGTTATACCGGCACCCGCTTGCCTCGGTATCGGTCAAACAACTGCACCAAGAAGAAAGAAGACAAGTTAGTTCAATAATTTCATTAAATAACCACCTTTAACTGTTAGTTAACACATCAGTCATATAAACTGTCATTCAAGTATATGACCTAAAAACATGCCAAATCCAGTTAGTCCTAGCCCAATTTCTGTTTTACATAATTCTAGAATTAATGTTGTATGGAAAGTTAACTACATGAAAATGAGCACACAAGTTGCCACTTAGGCTTTTCACTCAATAGATTGATTACAAACTCTGAGTCATGTGTTTCCAATAGCTATGTCATTGTGAATCAAATGCTAGTACCAAGGCATTCCTCCGACTTGCATCCAAGCCTTTTTTCAATCTCAACAATCCATGTAATTAAATGTATAATTTTACCACCAAATATATGTAGTTTAAAACTAGAACTGTAGCTCACACTAGACTTCATCAAACAAATTTTAAAATTCGAAATTACTTGGCACTTCAAGTCATTGGCAAATTGACAATATTATGAGCTGAACGTTAACCTGCTGATTGTGAAATGAT